AGTTTTGTACAGGTGTGAACTGTGTAGGTACTGTTTGTGAGACATCTTTTTTTATTTCCTTCTTTTTCATCAGTCTGTCACAGGAAACACAAGTAATACTTCAGTCCAGCGTCTTAGCAAGAGACTAAACTAGTGAAAACAACATATGTATATGTAAACAGTGTGGCACAGTGTGTTCCATGTCTGCAAACATCCAGTCCAGGGAACATGTGTGCGCTACACATGGAAACATCATGCATGATGCTGGTTTGGAAGAAAAGTACCAAAACTAAATGCAGAGTGATCAAGAATAGTGGCCGATTAGAGGTTTTTCAGTGCACTAAGGATAACTGGAACATTTCACCAGCACAGAACCTAAGAGGCAACTTAAAATAGAAAGATAATGATTTGAGAAAATATTGTTCATATCCTTTATCCAAGAATTACATAATAACAAATGCAAAATATTGTATCAGACCACTTCAAGTATTTTTTGTTTGATTTTTTAAATAAGATCTTGAGCTGTTTCAAACTTAAAGACCCACAACGCAATTTTTAGACCTTGAAAAAGTACATTTCTGATTGGTTTTGATGACACACCAACATTCATTATGTGCATTTTCAAGCCGTCACTGCTCAGCGGCGGCCCAAGGCTCAGAAACTGCATTATGTTACTTTTGGATTCAGGATGTGGCCGTCACGTTGCAGCCCACTATTAGTTGTGACTGCGTCGCGTACTAACCAACGGATATGAACCAGATATGAATACAGTGACTGTTCTGAATGTGCATCATGTTGGATTCAGCAAAGAAACACAAGGAAAAATCACTGGACGAAGAGAGGAAAAGAAAGAGAGGAAGGGACAGAACAAGAGTCCAGATAAGACTGTCTTTTACTGGCTGAAGTGAATCACAGTTCAGGTACGATGACGAGGGAGGAAGTTTAGCCGTTGATGGGGGGCACGTCACGGAGAAAACTGCTAAAAGCTGATGGGTCTTTAAGTTCAGGGGGTTTCCCCACCTGCATCCGTCTATATTGCCAATCAGCTTCACTGAAGACAAAATGAAGACATAATGATTTTATAAACACAAACAAATAAAATATGATGTGGACTAACCTTTTAGAAGGTTCTCGTAAAGTGTTTTTATGAGTTTCACGGCGTCCTTCTCCTTCTCGGTTTCAACGTCTAGGCCACTTAAAAAATCACAGAAGACTTCTTCTCATAGCCAAACAAAAGAACTGGATTCAACCCAGCCATCCTTAACTTGTGGATCTGAAAACAAAATTAATTCATTATCAAAATGGATGAAATGGAAATAAAACAACTTATCAATGTTAGTGGCTGAAATGTCTGAATTCATGGGGGTTGTTTTGGCCATGCCTTTAAACAAGCAAAACATTTTGGTCAACATATGTTTCCAATTGTCGTCACATTAACAGACTGTCAATTATATGACTATAAAAAAATAAATAAATAAAAGCTCTATAAGAATAAGAAAAATCTAAAGTGTTTGAGAAAATGAAACTGTTGTCTGATTACCACCACCATGAAACCAAATTACCTAAAGCTTAAGCTCTTCATGCATCTTTAGGGCAAAAGAATATGACTACGTCATTTTTTCTCCCTCTCTGTCTACAACATGTTTCCTGGAGTTTCATGGGATCCAATGGTCATGCAGACTGTCCTACTGACTGACAGGCATATATTGGAGAACATCACAATCAGAAAGAACATTGGGAGGAGAGTATAAAAAGGAAATGTTTTTGGATATGCTGGGCTACTGTACATCCTCAGTTAAATGTGATTGTTTAACATAAATGGTTTAAGATTGATTTCAAATCTGCTTTAGTATGATGAATGAAATTATAATTATGTCCAGCTCAGTACATTTACTGAACTCTCTATAATGTAGGTAGTTAAAAATATGTGAAGTCTGACATGCCTAGATAATTGCAGTTTCTTACCAGAATTTGGGCAGAATTACCAAGTTTGCAGGCGTTGCGTCCTGTTTTCAGTTTTCCCCCATTGCTGGTTGTATTTCCTCTTGGCATTTTCCACATTTTTCTTTAAAGGCTGTTTGGCCCCTCAAAGTTTGCAAATCTTGAATGCAACACGAATTTGCTGCATGCAAGACATGCACAACTTCATTGCTGAGCCTGGCATTTCAGCTGTAAGGGATAAGAGACAAAATAATAAAACAAACAAAACAACAACTTTAAGACAAATAAAGGAAATACAATATCAAAATTGGATTGGCCTCAATATAACTATTAGGATTCCACTGGTAATTTAAGAACCTCTTTAAAAAATGTGTTTCTCCATTTGAAAAGTCAGTATATTCAGTTATTCTTAAGATAAAAAAATAATCATTTCATAATAAATGTATCAACATAACAATCAATCAGTAAATCTGTCTACAAACTATTCAGTCAGTCAGCCGGTGCAGTCATTTTGGGTTCATATTCCGATACAATATCACTTTCAGACCGATTCAATATGATTGAAGATAATCCTGACAGATGATCTTTTAAAAGACAAAAGAGTGTAACTTTATACTTTGCATGCACAGGAAACTGCCGTCTTGGTCATTTTTAACTACAGCAGAAGTATTTCGACATGACTGTTTTTAAATTACTTTAAAAACCAACAAATCCTTATGAAAAGACACAGGTTGACGAATCCACATGAATCTAATATGCTACGTCTTTGCTAACATTAGCTTTGTTTATTATTGCAAGAATAGCCAGAAGTCCTTACGTCAAAAAGAAAAGAACAATACTAATCAACTGTTCACTGTCCTAATGTCAAAATGTAAGATTTGATGTCTGATTGATATTCAAACAGTGTAAACTTACGTTTGAGGACGAAGCGCGGAATAAAGAACTTGGAGAAAGTACGGTGGTGTACATAGAGCGCGTTTCCAGATGTGTCCCACCTCACCTCTGGCACTGCTGGAACAGTAATCACAGGAAAGAAGTGCCGTCTGAAAAAAGCACTCTCTCCACTCACGTTTTTTTTTTTTTTTTTATCAAAAATGACTAACAACAGCTAGTATTGTCATGCATTAAAAAGCCTATAGGTTATAAAGTTTACGATGTGAATTTATAGTTTTTATTCGAAATTTTTCAATACACTTTCAATACACTTCCTAATCAGCCGTGGGTGAACCAAAATTCTGTATATCTTTTTATTTTTTTAAAGAAAAGAAAGACAATTAACAAAAGATGGGGTGCAATCACAAAAAAAGTGTTTTATTAAAACGTTTTACCAAAACTACCCCCCCATTAAAAGAAGGAGAGCAAACGTCACGCGATCAGACTTTTGTGAAAATATGTACGCATTTTTTGTGCATTACTTTTTGGTAATATACAGTACGAACTAATGGTGAGAACAGCCTGAACAATCGGTTCCTCTCCCATAATGGAAGACTGTTGGATTATGGTAGAACCTTTTCCACCTTTAGCTCGATCTCCTTTTATGCTACATGATATGTCTCATCATGACCCATTCATCTGACTAAGAAAGGTCAAATTAAAATATGCATGGTGCACTTTAAGATGATGGCAATCCCAACCATCTTTCAACAATCATATATTGCAATGCCTCAGAACAGAGATCCAGTATGGAAGGCAGGACATACAGTGAGATTACTCAGAAAGCGGTAATTTAAAACTGGATCTGCAGTAGCAACGGCTAAGGCAGGAAGCTCTACAGGGGAGAAAACACAGGTTAGTGACCATGATAATCTGACCGAGGATGATTAGGAACACGTGAGTCACTAACCTGGTTTTACAGTTCAGTCTGGGCCCAGAGAACGAGGATGATTCCAGCCGGTCCGCTGATAAGACAGGCTGCAGATCTGACAGGACATCAGATCCAAGCAGATAAAGGAAGGCAGGATAATCCAGAGAAATACAGTGTTATGTATTATGATACGTATTTAATGGCATCTAAAGCTAACTACACATGTGAATAAATGGCTAGTCTGAGCAGAGACTAGTTAAAACCAGCTCCAAAGCACAGACTGGGGCGGATTATACTTCTTTACTCTTTCTCTTTTGGATTACATGAGTACATGTAATCCAAAGACTGCTGAAGTCACCTGCCAAAGCCAGGGCTGTACCTGACCTTAACCTAAACTAACCTGGCCTCTAGTCCTCATCCCTGCAGAATCCGCTCCAAAACAAGCTAGACAGCCCAATCTGAGCTGATCCAGGAGGAAGTATTCGCCAACTGCAACCTCATGAACCTCAACCTCACCTAAACTCCAGCATGAGCCCCCCCCACCCACGCGCCAAGCATTCCCCGATAGGTAGCACCTAACAGAGGACATAGGATGCTGGCCCTAACACCCAACTGCACCTGCAGCCCAGGGCGGGGCCTAGACCCTCAGATGTACACCTACCCATACACACACACACCCACCCCCCTACACACACACACACACACATTCTGGTTCTGCCATCGTAATTTTCAACCCTTCCTATGCCCTAACCCTAAACCATTACCAATGCACACCTAACCCAAAGGACACCTTAGCCCTAAACCTAACCAATAGCAAAATAGCATGTGAGGATCAGCAAAATGTCCTCACTTTGCAACACTGGTCCTCAATCTGATGATGAACATGGAAAAATGGTCCTCACTCTGACACACACACACACAAAATGAAAAAAAGACTTGGAATATGACAGTAAGGCTGCAACATGACAGTGAGGAGGCCCTTCATGTAACAGAAGCCTAATGATTCCATTTGGCAGATGTTGCTGCTAAAGAGAAAGCAGTTAGGAGGCAGTTCCAATACTTCCTCACTGAGTCACTTCTAACCTTAATAATTCACATTATGTTAGTTGGGCATTAAGGTGCGTTTGATGATCTTGATGATCTTAAAGATCTAAATATGCAAACATTACTAGACTTAACACTATTAGACACCATTCAGCGCCATGCACTGCTCTCTGTTTATTATGCTATAGATGTGGTGACCCCAAACGGGCTGAATGTGAAGAAGTTCTCAGCCATGCATGACTTTCAGAACCTTCACTCCGCCCACAAGAACCGCATCAAGGAGTTTGTCAGAGGTCACTTCTATGGGTAGGTGAGAAAGTCATGCAGCTTTAAGTCTAATTCTAAAACTTCTAAAAGCATCATATTGTTAATCTGCTGAGATGTTTTGTGTGGTCAGTTTATAAAAGTCTAATTTCTGCAGGCATCTTGACCTGGATAAAACCCTGTTCTTTTTATCGCTGGAAGGTAGGAATTCTCCAACAAGGGAGCGGATATTTTCCTTGAATCCCTCTCTAGGCTCAACTACTTGCTGCGGGTGAAGACTTTGTACTTTGTGTTCTGTTTAGCATTGATCTTGCGTTTGAAAGTCGATTTTAGCACATTAATCTGTCAACAGATCCACAGGAATGACCTGACAGTGGTAGTTTTCTTCATCATGCCAGCTGAAAGCAACACCTTCAATGTGGAGTCGCTGAAGGGGCAGGCGGCAAGCAGCTCTGGTAGACTCTTTTCAAAGATTTACACCTGAAGCATCTCATTCTATACCTTTAAACAGCTTTTATTATTATCACTCTCAGGGATACACTGTGAAAGAGAAGTTTGGGAAAAAGGTTTATGAATCTTTGCTGACGTAAGTATAAAATGAATGAATCACCATCTAAAACAAATCAGCAGTTTTGTCCAATAAGCAAAGGCCATGTGAGTCTGCAATGCGTTGGTTTCCGTGTTCAGAGGCCAGATCCCTGACAGGAATAGCATTCTGGACAGAGATGACTTCACCATCATGCAGAGAGCCATTTATGCCACACAGGTACAGCAAATAGCATCATTTTCATTGAGTTAGAAAAAGCGTTATTAATAGTCTGGAGAATGGAGTTTGTTTCACCATATTTGAAAGGTTTGCTTTGGATGAAGTTCTGCAGAAATAAAATCATCAGCTATCAGAGATCATGATCCAGTTCTGAGGAAACAAAAATATAACTAATGAGCCATAAATCTGTTTCTGGGCTCATTTACAGCAGCCATATCCACCTGATTCTATGTGTTTTCTCTACTTCACTGTTATTCAGCTGAAGTTTATAGCAAAGGAGAAATCAGTCATTTTATCATATCACTCCTGAAAGATGAAATTAGAGCTTGTGTCTGTGAGGTTTACCTGTATGAAGAAAAAGGTTGATGAATGCCAGGCTTTAATCAGCCTTGGTGTTTTCTCTACTAGGGTGACCATATTTTCATTTGGGAAAACCAGGACACCTTGGAGCGGGGGGGGGGGGGGGGGGGGGTTGATTGAAAGAACAAATGTCTCATCATCGGGATTTGCTCCGTGTTCAGAGGAAACGCGGTTGGTCTGTTGGCGCAGAACAGTGGTAAAATTTGGAAGTTCAGTTTAATATAATACAAGTCAGTTAATAGTTATGTCTGAAATGAATGAAAATAGTTGTTTTAATGGTTATTGAGTCAGATATGTGGCGGTAATGTTTGGTTTATCTAAAGGTTTTTACAGTAACTGATGTGTAAATGGGTTTGGTTGTAATTAAAGGACAGATTCTAATAGATCTGCAGGGTGGGAACTATAAATCTGATAGGAGTTTAATTTTTTATTGTTGTTTTGCACAATATGCTTAACTAAGTATTTTCTGTTGTTGAATATTAGAGATTTTGCAGATATATTTTTATACATACATTGTTTAGATTTACTTATATATTTCTACCCCTTTTATAGAATAGAATAGAAAATCCCTTTATTGTCCCACAATGGGCAGATTTACAGCAGCAAAAAGATTATTGAAAATGGTCACACAAATGAGGACCTTAGAAAAATGTATAAGAATAACATAATAGGGAAGAATTAAAATATAAACAATAAAATACTGTAAAGTGTTTAACAATATAAAACTGGAGAATTAATAACCAATATGCAGCTATGGACATTTTTACAGTAATGGATATTTAAAAATAGCAGCAACATCAGAGATGTGTAGAATGACAGCAGCAGGTTATTTAACTGACTAAGGTTTCTATCATTACATTTGATTTGATTTGTTCCTGCTCCCGGTGGTTGGAACCTTTATTCCACTCTGGATTCTTGTGAGTGTAGTCTTTGTTCGCTTTAACTTTTAAAAAAATAAGTAAATAAACAAACAGTTTTGAAAACCTCGGTATTCATTCTTTTCCTGCTTTGTGTGTCAACTTTCACGGTTGCTAAGCAACAGAACATATGCCGGTAAAACCCGCCGAAGGGTAGACCTGTTCGAATTTACAGCCAAAACTCTTCCGGCCTCCTTATTTTCAAGGACTTGGAAGGATCCAGTCTAGGTAGACCGTGACCTTGGAGGATGCAGCCCAGGTTTTCGAACAGAGCCTCTGATTAAGAGCAGGGCTGCCCGCACTGAGGCGGCTCAGGGATTACGTCACACGGAGCGTCGTGCGCAGTGAAATCAGGACATTTCCTCACTTTCTAAAAAAAACCCGGGACGCCTGGGACAGGACGTGAAATACGGATATGTCCCGGGAAATACGGACGTTTGGTCACCCTATCTCTACATCTTATAGATCTGTGATTCTGTGGTATAATTGCTTTGAACTGTAGGCTAATCTGTCAGATCTGTGAGAACAGTCCTCTCCACCTCCATCATTGCTTTAAATCCATATATTTCTTCCTTGTTTGTGTGTTTATTTTGTCCCCCTCAGTGGTTCAAGCAGTTATTTTTCTTCCAGCCTTTTATTGTCATTCCACTGTCACCAGTACAGAGCAACGAAATTCCCTCTCTGCGTTTAACCCTTCCCCCTGGGGAGCAGTGGGCTGCCATTGTGCGGCACCCGGGTAGCAGAGTGGGGTTAAGGGTCTGCTAACCAGCTAGCTAACAGCTGCTAACCAGCTAGCTAACAGCTGCTAACCATTTAGCTAACGGCTGCTAACCAGCCAGCTAACAGCTAAGAGCTGCTAACCATTTAGCTAACAGCTGCTAACCAGCTACCTAACGGCTGCTAACAGCTGCTAAGCAGCTAGCTAACGGCTGCTAACCAGCCTGCTAATAGCTAACAGCTGCTAACCAGCTACCTAACGGCTGCTTAACAGCTGCTAACCAGCTGCTAACCAGCTAGCTAACAGCTGCTAACCAGCTAGCTAACAGCTGCTAATCAGCTAGCAAATAGCTGCTAACCAGCTAGCTAATGGCTGCTAACTAGCTACCTAACAGTTGCTAACCAGCTACCTAACAGCCGCTAACCAGCTAGCTAACAGTTGCTAACCAGCTGCTAACCAGCTACCTAACGGCTGCTAACAGCTGCTAACCAACTACCTAACGGCTGCTAACAGCTAACAGCTGCTAACCAGCTAGCTAACAGCTGCTAACCAGCCAGCTAACAGCTGTTCTGAGCGCAGCATGCTAACGCTCTCTCTACATAATAACACACCTGGAGGAGAAGAACATCCAGGTGTGGATGCTGTTGAGTTTAGCTTGGCGATCAGTGCTTACGCTCCTCCAGCTGCAGGTAGGGCGGCCATTTCTATAGCACCAAAAAGGAGGAAATTGTGCGGCATATCAATAAATTACTAAGGTGTGCTTGTCCGCGTTTGTCGTGCCACAAATTGTCGGAAACGGACTCTGACGTAGGTGGAGAGCGATCAGCTGTACTAATGGCCCTAATTAGCATATGAATGCAGCAAACCCGCGCGGCTGGCCAGGTCTGGCTTGAATAACCTTCTCAGTATTGGCTGAAACCACTATTCTCAAACAAATGAAATCGCTCGTGATTGGCAGCAAAACCACACGTGGCCACGCCAGGCTTTAATTTTCTTACTGAGTATTTATTGGACGGAACCACTTCTTTTTAAACAAGTAAAGTCGCTTGTGATTGGTTGGCATATATATATATTTACATATAAATTTACATATATATATTTATTCATATATATATATATTTAATCATTCATATATTTATTCATTCATATGGTGTGTATTTATGTTATCCTACACTACTACACAATTATTATGCTACCATCAAGGACATGAATGAAATTATACAGGAAATGAAGATTTGCCAGGAAGCTGTTTATGCAAAGAAAGAGCTTTATTAAAACACACACACAACTATATACAACGCGTATCCAAACACATGCGTATCTAAAAATTACAACTCCGTGAACGGTCCGTTTGCTTCCTCGGGGTTGGAGGTAACTGGCAGCATTCCCTGCGAGGCAGGTCCGATGTGCAGACGCCTACTGTGCGTGGCCCTGTACTTCGGCATCGCTTCTAACCGGGACTGCAGCTTAACACAGAGTTCAGTGAGATCCGGCCTACGAAATGGCGGCGACCGTACAATCCATCCAGAGACACCGCCGAGGAAGGCGGACTTCCAGAGTTACTATATACTGCCTGGAATAGGCAGTGAGAGCACTTCTGAGAGGACCATTAACAGGGCCCTATAAAATCTCTTTGATTTTTTCCCAAATTCCCTTTTTTCCGTTTTCATTTTTGAAAATTCCGTTTTTCCCGTTTTATGTATGTATTTTTGCGCTTCCAATCAATGGAATGTTGACAAAACTTGCAAAACAATAGTTCAGCTGACACCTAAAAGTCACGAGGGAACTGCTCGGCTCTGTACTCAGGGCTTAGAGTCGTGTTTCTCAACTTTTTCTCCGAAAGCGGAGCTGTGGAGAGCTGCTTCGTCATTTTTTCAATGTTTTGATGGGGGAGCGGAAATGACGGAGTGGGAGGGGTTGTGACGCCGTGATTTGCGTCCTCCGGTGTGCATTTCCCCCCGACGTATGTTCTTCTCCCACACAAAAACAGAATTTCATTTCAAATGTAGAAATTCCGCGTTAATTTGCCAATTCCGCGGTTCCGTCCGTGATTCCGTGATCGCAGAAATTATAGGGCCCTACATTAAGGGGAAACTGGCAATAAAACATCATAAAGCAACAGGCATGACAAAGGCATGTGAACCAAACTCCAATTATAAAGCAACCTGATGGCCCCTAGTAAAGGACCCCGACTCTGTACTCCTAGATTCCCCCACAGGTGACCCGTCTCCAGGTTGAATCACTACCTCCAGCATCCTGCAGGGGGTACAGAGCTGGTTCCAAAGCCAGGATCAAAACCAACAGATTGAACTAAATAATCCTTCACAGTATATTATGTTTAATAAACTAAGCTAACACTACATGCTACTGGAACAACCACAAGTAAATGAAGGAAATAGTAAACACAAAAGAGTTCAAATGAGTTCTTGAGGTAGAGTCTAATGATGTATTAATTAGCAGTAGAAGGCAAACAGTCAAATCAATTAAGTTTCACGAATCCAATAATGAACATCAATGAACATAATGAATATGTTGTGAAAGCGTTGAGATGTTATGTGAGTGATGTGGGAGTTGCCATGGCAACCGCTAGCGTAGCGGTGAACGCAGCTGATTGCAGCTGGCCATCAGGCCACAAACACGGTACTGTGATCCACTAACCCTGGTAGGTTAGCAGCGAGCTATACTGCTGTTCAGCACAGGTCAGGAACCACAAAATGTCGGACCAAACTGCCTCTCACAATATGGCCGATGCACACGCATTCAAGAGGCAGTCTGTGTGACGGATTAAATTCTGGCTGAGAGACAAAGACAATCAGCAGAGAGAGAGAGATAAGGTGGTGATAGGAAACGAGAGAGGGACAATGGCTTAAAAACATCAAAACTAACTATTTCAATGTTTGTCATAAACCTCTACAATAGTTCAGGATCTCGTTTTTAATAAACCAATCAACATCTAACTATTATTTCTAACCTCACTAAGCAACATAGCCATTAAATCCTGGGAC